CAGATAAGGGAATATAAATTGAAACATAAAATGGTTCATAAAACACTCCTTGGAGGAAGAAGCATTGAAGGGGAAAGGAGCATTCATTGGGGAAATAGCATTTAAGCAGTAGTGACAGAATAGTAGTGAACAATCCCTGGTAGCTAACAAAGAAACAGTACGAACAATGCATCTTTTAGGGGGAGAAACAAGGCATGCCTACATAAACCTGTGCAATAGAGAAGTGGAATGAGCAAGAGGGAATGAACACATGAATATTACAGAAGCGCCTTAGTGTTGGTTCACAAAAAACAAGGGTGAAAGAAAAGGGGGCCAAGAAACTTGGCATGCTTCTTGACTTCCAGAACTCATAATCCTTTTAGAGCTGGTGACTCCTAAAATGGGCTAATTTTATTCATTGATTGATTGATTGATTGATTGATTGATTGATTGATTCATTCATTCATTCATTTGTCAAGCACGTATTAGATAATATATATAAGTATAAGCATGAACTGAATACATAAAATGACTACAATTAAAGGGAACATTAGGACAGGGACGGTAGGCATGCTGGTGCTCTTATGCACACCCCTTACAGACCTCTTAGGAATGCTGAGGTGAAACCCTTCCACACTGTGAAATCCAAAGTCATCAGGGTTTCTCCAGGGATCTGGGAAGGCAATGGCTGGAGGGACTTATAGAAAACCTAGCAATGGGTTGGAACTGCACTTAAAGCTCAGAAGGCTCTGCTTGCTTCATGGTCATTCTGGTTAAGTCCCAGGGATTCGAAAAGTTTCCCTGCAAGAAACAAAGGGCTGCAAGGAGGGTGAGAAATCAGAACTAGTTCCACAGCTTCTGCCTTGAGTGTCTTTAGTTAGAGATGGACATCACACTATGAATTTTCTTCTCAGAAGAAATAAAGAGTTAGTGGGATGGACAATTCAAAGCTAGATGCCCAGTGAGGGATGTCAGCTTCAAATGGAGACAAAATAAAAGGAAGACTTTTTCTTCTCTGACTCGATGGTCCCAACAACGGGCTTTTTTGGGGGGGGGCTGTAAAATTTGTTTGTTTGTTTATTATTTATCAATCAATCAATCAATCAATCAATCAACAAGTACAAGGAAACAAGTAGCAGTATAGACATACACATGGACACATGAAAAAAATTTGGCACAAATTTATGATGTGTCTGATTAATGTGAGTAATTTATTTACCAACAGAATGCATAGCTGTACCCTCCATCTCCCCAAATGACAAAATTAAGCTAAAGGTAATGTTTGGAAGATGGTACGATCATATAAAGGAACAATAACTGCTCATAAACCTTGCCCTGTAGTAATCCTACATCTGCTTCCAAAATTTGCCATGCTGTGAAGGTTCGCCAAACGTGGAACTTTGTATTTAAAAGGAACGGAAGCTGAGCGAAAGCCAAGCGAAAGTGAAAGGGGTATTAAAAGTAGAAAAGGGAATCCCCGGTGTTCAAAGCAAAGCAGCCCAAGGTGCATGTGCATGGGGAGGTACTGGTACTAACTGTAGGGGCAGTGAGGTCCTCCCGGATCCCCTTTTTGGATCCGAAAAACCCAGGCAGATTTCATGAAAGGGAATCTGTGTCCTTCTTAGAACCTTTCTTTCTGAAAAACGAAGGAGGATCGCCTGGCAACAGAAACTAACACAATGGGACCCATCTAGCAGCAGAAACTCACCACATGGCACCTGGGAAGATTACATCAGCCATCAAGGCTAGCTAAGACCCCCACCCCCTGGGAGTCTGACAACCAATCAGGATACTCTTTCGGGGCCCCAGGAAGTTCAAAGCCAGAGAGAGAGCATAAAACCCAGGGACTCGCTGTATCTCACCCCTTTTTCTGTTCAGGAACTCAAGCCATGTGATCCTGTCCACCATTAAACCATCTTTCTAAGCAGTCTCCATGTTTCCAGTGTCCTTTTCCCCACTTGGAGCTGAACCCAGAAGGATATTTCTTCCTACAATGCAATAGAATTAGAGAAATGGCAACAATTATGGGGAAGGAATTATAAATTGACAATGGCAACTGCATTTAAAGAAAATTTATATAAAATATTTTATAGATGGCATATGCCACCGGAAAGATTAGCAAAAATGTTTAAGGATAAATCAGCTAAGTGTTGGAAATGTTCACATTTGCTGGGATCATATTATCATATGTGGTGGTCATGTACAGAAGCTAAACATTATTGGTCTAGAATACAGAAATGGTTGGAGGAAATGCTACATAAACCTACAGAATTAAAACCAGAGTTTTTCCGATTGGGTATTCTGCCAGAGAGATACAGTAAAGAAAATGTGTATTTAATAATACATATAACAACAGCAACAAGAATTGTATTTGCACAAAATTGGAAGACAGAAAAAAATCCTGTGAGAAGGTGAAGTAATAAAATTTTTTTTAGAATGTGCAGAAATGAATAGATTAACCTTAAGAATAAAAGGTAGAGAGGAATCAATGTATTTCAGGATGTGGGGAAGATTTTATGAATGGTTAGAAAAGAAATATGGTTAAAAAATGATAGATAAATGAGGGAGATAATAGAAAGGTAAATGATGGAGAGAATAAAAAAGAAATAGAAATCTAGATGATACCAGAGAAAATTGAAAAGGGGGGAGGGAAGAAAGAAGAGTATAAAAATAATGTACAATTATGATGGTAATATTGATATATAGAATAAATTTGAAAAGAAATTGAAAGAAAGTATATATGATTAGAATATAAGAATTGGTCGGATACCAAACAAGAAGAATAATATGATATAACAAAGAAGATAGAAAGGAGAGGGGAGTAGAGGGGAGGAAGAGGATTCAATTAATTTAGCAACTGGTTCTCTGTCCTAATGACTGGCTGGGTGGGTGTGGCCATGGTGGACATGGCCAGTGGGTGTGGCAGGCAGCACTTGGCCTCCTGCATCTCCTGGGGGCGAAAACGGGCTTTGGGAGGGAGGTGCTGCCCCCCGCTCTCCCGCTCCCCCACCCCGTTTTGGGCCTAGGAAGCCTCCCTGCACTTACCTGGGAGCCAGAATGGGGCACGTGGGGACTTCTGGGAGGGGCGGGATGGGATGGGGCACGGTCAGACAGTCAGCAGAACTACTGGTTCGTCGAACAGGATGTAAAATTAACATCAGGTTCACCCGAATAGGTGTGAAATAGCTGAATCCCACTCCTGGGTGGCCTAGAGGTGGAGCTCTTGCCTCACAATCAGGAGGCTCTGAGTTTGATCTTTGGTAGAGACAGATATTTCTCTCTCTGGGCACAATGAAACTATATCTGCTGAAAAAACTTAGCATTGGTGACAGGAAGGGCATCTGGCCAGTAAACACTCTGCTCCATTCAGTTATCCGGACTCCATCCTGCAAGGGATTATGGGGTTATTAAAAGATGATGATGATCACACACACACACACACACACACACACACACACACACACACTGTGATAAAAGAAAAAAAAATAATTCTTCTAGCTGGGCTGACCTCTTTGGCATCAGCCATTTAATAGAAACCCAGCTAGAAGAAAGGAAACAAGTTTGGATTTGCCCTAAATTCATCTATTTTCCCAGATTTACATAAACCACCAACTACATTAAGCAATGTTGTGCATTTGCACAATATAATGAGCTATAGATTAAGAAAATGGACTAGATTTGTAGACATAGTATTCCATGCACACATACACACCATGGGTGGGTTCTACTTACCTTTACTACTGGTTCGCAATGGGGCCACCCGCCCTCACTCGCTCAGAAGCATTCTGATGATGTCAGGGTCGGTGGATGGAGCCTCCTGCCGGTTTTACTACCGGTTCTATAGAACTGGTGCAAACTGGGGGCAACCCACCACTGATACACACATATACAAACACACGACACTAATCAAGATTCACACTAACCAATCTTGGCAAATTAAGCAAATGCAGCTATTGTATCTCTGACCTCACTAAATGCTGAACACATTGTAAGCCGCCCTGAGTCTCCGGAGAAGGGCGGCATATAAATCAAATTAAAAAAAAAAAATGCACCGTGGGAATACAGCCTTTGTGCATCATGGCGTGTGTGGGTGGGTGGGTTTGGTTGGTGAAAATGTTCTGGGAACTCTAGAGGAAAGCAAATGTTAGAATAACAATCAGTTCAAAATCAGCTGCTGAAAGAGTCACACGATATGTTTGTTTGATATTTTGATAATAATATTTTGATATTTTACTTTGATATTTTAATAGTGCATGGGAATGTTGTATAGATAGGAGTTTGAAAACATGGAACTGCAAAGTAGTTGCCATGTGTTTTCAATTATTTGCAGACACTGACCAAGTCAAGAAAAAAAAAAAGACATTTAATCATCTTCCTCCTGCTGTTGAGACCATCACCTGATAGGATTAGGAGCCTATTAGGCTTTTCTGCCTGTATATGTTATTCATCTTTTCTATTTCTTACAAGTACATAGTAGATTTGATGTTTTTTATACAAAAGTTCTCATTGTGAAATAATATCTGCAAGTCCCACCTCCTCCCTACAAATCACTTTTATGACCAAAATTTACGACAGCATGGTAAACTGCAACATTAAGCTGCAGGCAATAACTACCTTCTGTCAAGCAGGATCAACACTGGTATTTATGTGGGCTGAAAAGTGATTAATTTGAGTTGTCAAACATGTGTTTTTCTTGCTTTAAAAAAGAATGTGAAGGAAGATTTTTGAGAGGAGATAGGAAATAAACTTCAAATCCATAAGATAAAGAATATCAAAGAAGGACAGAGAAAGACTGTGTTAAGAAAGAGACTCTTGTATGGATGTAGTAGAATTTAGTGTCTAGTTTGATTAATTGTTTTTCTTCTGTGTATGAATGAAAGGTAGAAAATGTGGATAGTTATTTATTTAAATTAAATTAAATAAGACGTCACCAGATAAACACAATGCAAATAGCCAACCCCTAAATCTGTTCTTAATTGAATTTGAAAAAAATACTGCTATACTCACTGTCAGTGGTGAAATTCAGCCAGTTCTATCCAGCTTGGGCGAACCTGTAGTGCCAGCAGTTGGAGGCTCCACCCACCCGCCCGGACATCATCACGTCCCATTTTTAACCCTCTGTGCCTGCACAGAAGGCTCTGCGTATGTGTGGAGGAGGCGCGGCGCTCACATTTGAGAACCGGTAGCGAAGGTAAGTGGATTTCATCCCTGCACACTGGGCATGGGTTTTAAAAAGTCAACAGCAGATAAATAATAATAAAATAAATATTACATTCTAAAATATTATTTTATTATCCATTAGAATAATAAAACATGCTGGTTTGAAAAGGTGCCACTAAACTCCTTTTGATTTTTGTCTACATAGAGAAAATATGGCTCTTCTACACAATCCATGCAAATAGGGCGGTTAAAAGGATGCTCAACCAATTGTAGATAAGAAAGGTTGGATCCTTTTTCATGCAGAGTAAATGCATGAAAAAACCCCCACTGCCTTAATTTCAATTATTTCTTGTTGCTTACATTTGAGGTTGCCAGATTTGGTGTAGTGGCTAAGAATCCAGGCTAGAAACTGGGAGACCAGTTTTATAGTCCCACCTTAGGTACAAGGTGAGACTACAACTGGGTGACTTTGGGCCAAGCAACTTCCCTTCGCCCTGGCTAAACGACAATGGCAAACCACTTCTGAAATCTTGCCAAGAAACTACAGGGACCTATCCAGGCAGTTAATAGAATAGAATAGAATGGAATGGAATGGAATGGAATGGAATAGAATAGAATAGAATAGAATAGAATAGAATACAATAGAATAGAATAGAATAGAATAGAATAGAATTCTTTATTGGCCAAGTGTGATTGGACACACAAAGAATTTGTCTTGGTGCATACGTTCTTGGAGTACATAAAAGAAAAGATAAGATAATAGGAGTTACCATTGACTTAAAGTCACTCTTGCATAAGATAAGATGGCTCCTCTTATGAGTATGTAGGAAGTTAGCACCCACCTCTTTCTTGGAAGAATGAAATATTTTAGGAAATATTAAAAAGGCAGAATATTATATTTTCCTGGATGAGAAATGGAGAAACATGTTTTAAAGACAAAGCAGCTTCCTGCCTCCCCCCCCACACCTTTGTTAATGGGCCATAATCTGCAACACAATAGCAACAGAAACTAACACAATGGGACCCATCTAGGACAGAAACTCACCACATGGCACCTGGGAAGATTACATCAGCCAGCAAGGCTAGCTAAGACCCCCCACCCCCTGGGAGTCTGACAACCAATCAGGATACTCTTTCTGGGCCCCAGGAAGTTCAAAGCCAGAGAAAGCATAAAACCTGGGGACTTGCTGTATCTTGGCCCCTTTTCTGTTCAGGAACTCAAGCCATGTGATCCTGTCCACCATTGAACCATCTTTCCAAGCAGTCTCCATGTTTCCAGTGTCTTTTTCTCCACTTGGAGCTGAACCCAGAAGGATATTTCTTCCAACAATTATTAAAGCACTTTTCTTCCCTCTGATATATATATATGTACAATGAAGGCTATTTGCCTGTATAGATAATGTAATTATATATTTTAGTCAGCAGGTGATTGAAACCAGTCTTTCATGAACCTTCCATTATAACAGCTAATAACTCATGATCAGTCAGGTAATACACTAATTCATCCTTGCTCAAAATATAATTATCAGGTTTCAAATATTTATTTATTTAATAAATAAATAAATAAAGAAGACACAGTATTCATAAACTTATTTGTGGTCTGTTACAATGCAAGGGGCTGAAGAACAATACCTGAGGCTTTAATTAAACTTTCTTTCTACAGCAGAAAAACAGGCTGAGTGAGGGAAGTTTCTTAAGTACTAAATGTCAATCTATATATGGCAGAAGTGGTCACTTCCTGTTAACACTTGGAAAGTTCAAGGTTTTGTAATTTGGGATGTAGCTTGGCTCAATATTCCTAAAAGGAAATGGATAGCTCATCTATAAGAATATAAAAAAGGCCATACTGGATCATATCAAAGGCTCATCCAGTATAATTTTTACATTGGATAGAAGCAGGGGTGAAATGCTCCCGGTTTGGACCAGATTGCCCGATCCGGTAGCGATGGAGGCAGGTGGTTCGGAGAACCAATAGCAAAAATTTCTGCCCCGCCCCATTGCCCAGCTGAGCCACACAATCATCAGAGGCTTTTTTTTAATTTTTAAAAGCATTTTTTCTACAACGTCTTTGGCCGAAAAAATGCTTTTAAAAGTAAAAAAAAAAAGCCTCTGATGATCGCGCGGCTCAGCAGGGATCATCAGAGGCTTTAAAAAAAAAGCTTCCGATGATCAGGCAAGTCAGCTGGGATCGTCAGAGGCTTTAAAAGCATTTTTTTTACAATTTCTTCAGCTGAAATGGTTTTAAAAGTAAAAAAAAAAGTTGGCCATGCCCACTCAGTCATATTAACCCCCCCAACCAAGCCACACCCACAGAACCGGTAGTAACAAATTTTACATTTCACTACTGGATAGAAGGAAGTTTCTACCTTCTACTGTTATACCTTCATAGCTGGCATTTGAAAATGGCTGCTGGTAATTCTGGAAATAGAAGCCATCAAGAATTAGAGCCATTGGTGGACTTCATAATGAAATTGGCACATACATATTCTAGACAGACAGAAAACTAGATAAATCTGATGGACACAAACTCCATGCTTTAATTTAGTTGTATTTCCTTTTATTGTTTTGAATCTTCTTTGAATAATCTTGCTTGCTAACCATTATGTGAAAAGGAGAAAAAAAACTTTACTATCTGCATTGTTCTATAATATGCCTGATTTTATGTATCTATAGCATGAGTATTTTATCCAGCTTTGCTCTGAACTAATGTATTTCAATTAATGGAGTCTTCACTTGCATGAGAATTTATGTAGTCCCCTAATTATTCAATTGTGGTGTGTGTGTGTGTGTCTCTCTCTCTGTGTGTGTAGGGGTTGCATCTATCCAATTTCAGGGAGCCCACATTTTATGATGCCTGACAAGAAATTTTAATGAATTGAGAGTTCATCCTCAATGAGCCAGTGTGGTCTAGTGGTTAAAACTAGAAAGTGGGAGTCCATGAGTTGAAGTCCTGTCTTAGCCATGAAAGCCAGCTGGGTGACCTGGTCTCTCTCAGCCCAACCCATCTCACAAGATTGTTATTGTGAGGAAGATAGGAGGAGGTTGTGTTGGATATGTTTGCTGCCTTGAGTTATTTGTAAACATAATGAAGGCAGGATACAAATAATTCTCATGTCCCTAAAATCATAATATGTATATGTCCCAGTAACTTTTCATGTCATTTCTGCACAGTGTTACCTTAATCTTATTCCCAGTTCACAACCGAGGCAGTTTAAAATCGTTTTTAGATATTCCAGTATCAAAGTGCAATAGTGTTTTACCTATCACAATATTTGTCACAACTGTTATGTTATATGTTTCATTGCTTCTGTGACCAGAGATCATATATGCTCAACTTCTGTTAGTTACTTGTGGTTGTAGTATATAGTTGTTATGGGCATGAGCCTCTCTTTTGTTATTGTTTTGGTCATTTTGTCTTGGGCTGCTGGAGATCTAGCTTCTACAGAAGTAGCCACACATATAATACATGTAATCCTTGATTTATAACCGTAACAGACTTATCCATTACAGTTGTAAGTTATGACGGTTCACAAAATGATCACCTACAATTTTTGTGATTGTTAAGCGAATGCAGTAGTTGTAGAGTGAATGTTAAGTGCAGGGTATGGTTGTTAAGTGAACCCATGGATTGCCATGGAGCATTTCTACTGAAAACCAGAAGCAAACACATCTTAAAATGAAAGTCATGTGACTTCAGGATGCTGGAAACACCTGTGAACATTTGGTGCTCACCAAATGCTGAGCACCAAAATGTGGTTACATGACTGAAAGTGGGGGGGAGGGATAGCTGTTGAACTGCGTGGTAAGTACCTGTTGGGGGAATCTATCATAACTTCAGCCAATTGTTAAGCAACTGGTTTTAAATCAAGAATTACCTGTATGTGACTGAAACCACTTACATGAGCTTCTTATAAGCATGTGTTGAACTCTCTATCATGCTGTGAATTCATACAGACAGTCCTCAACTTACGACCATAATTGAAACCAAAATTTATGTCATTACGTGATCCAGTTGTTAAGTGAACTTTGCCCCATTTTATGATCTTCCTTGCCAGAGTTTTTAAGTGACTTACTGCAGTGGTTGCATTAGTAACATTAGTGGTGCAGTGGTTGCATTAGTGGTTGTTAAGTGAATATGGCTTCCCCATTGACTTTGCTTGTCGAAAGGTTGCAAAAGATGATCACATGACCCTGGGAAAAATGCAACTATCATAAATATGAGTCAGTTGACAGGTGTCTGGATTTTGCTCACATGACCCTGGGGATGTGGCAATGGTTGTAAATGTGAAAAACAATCATAAGTCATTTTTTCCAATGCCATTGTAACTTGGAACAGTCAGTAAGTGAAGTGGCAAGTTGTAAGTCAAGGACTCCCTGTACTTATTTGTGATTTTGGGCTATTTCTTTACTTGGGGACAGGGCACTTTCAGAAAACCACTCTATATGCAAAATATTCCAGTGAACAATGGACACAGTGCAGCTCTGTTGGGCAATTTAATGGGTGATTAAATACACTGCTCTATACTTTTGCCTGCACTTGCCAAGGAGGCATCCCATCTCATTTTAAAGGGAGTGATTAGTGGTGGCCTTTTCTGCCAGTAGCAATGCTTGGTAAGAGGACAAATGAGGCTGGAGGAAGCCCTCAATCTTTTTCCTTCATGTATTATCCTAAAATAAGAAAGACCTTGTTTCTGTAGTAGAGAAGAACTGACAAATCAGGGTAGCAAGTTTTCTATCCAGATCCTTTTCTGACAGCTGACAGAAGTGTAGCGCTTTATATGTGATGCTCTGGTTGTGCCCAAAATCAATCTTATCAGTCTGTGAAATCAACCAGAAAGCTCTGGATACAGTGATTTCTTACTCTTGATTATTCCAGGAAAGAAACCCTTGAACAGCTCATATTTCAATTCCCACACAGCATCCCACTAGTTCAAAGAACTTAGCTAGTCTGGTAAGGAATAGATGAAGATGATAGATGATAACTCCTCCCTTCTGTGTGGGATAAATGGACTACACCTAAGCATAGAAATT